TGTGCAAAACACTTTACACTACGTGTCCGGTCTATGTGTTCTCTGGTTAGTGGTTCAATTTTACTACACAGCTGTACCACTAACTGCAGTCAGTTAAAAGTTGAGCAGCCCTGGAACAGCGACATATCGATATACATTTTTGAAATTTAAATGTGAAACAATATTAATAATTTGACTTTTATGTTTTATTGGGCAGTATATCATGCAGATATTATCAGTTAGTGATTAATGATTTACTAATGTTCACTCGAGCCTATCTAAGAACATGTCGTTAATGGCTCTCATTAAAAAGTCAGGCAGCAAACATGCTACCGTACAAATTATAACATATAGCCACATAGGAAGCGAACTCAAAAACATGTTGTACACATGGTACAGGGTACTGCCACTATCTAAATTATAAAGGTAAGTGCTTAATATAAATGCCAGAATCGATACAATAATAAATGCAAAGTTAAGGTAACTCATGTAGTGTGAGACTAGCAATACCTTCAAATTGCCTACAATTACGAGTACCATTATAAGCATAGTTCCAAAAGTTGAGAAATCTGCAGTTTGTCCTTCGTTGAACACAACATTATTGTCATATAAAATGGCATAGGCAAAGAAGAAAATTATGAGAGTTTGAAGGGCAGCGTTTAAAATCCACATTAGAAATGCCTTCCACGAGGTCAGCTTGTTGTGGGCAATTCCTTTATATAATGTCGGAAATCTGGTAGTCGAATAGAACTATGAAATGATATTTATTGGATGTCAGAGCATTTTACTTACCTCAACAATGTGCTCTCACTATAACGTTTATCGGACATGGCCAAATACGTAAAGCTGAAGGATATGTAAATGATATCAAACAGCCATAAGAAAAGTTCGTTATAGACAGATGTCGCCGAGTACAAATCGTATACTTGAAACAGAGCCATGCAACCTGTGATTATTATATTCTTGTAGCAGTAAAAAAGCACCATAAACGCCAATCGTTCATTATTATAATGTCCATGCACCAGGAGCAGACGTTGCAGCATAAAGAACTTAGCAATTGCATAGTCAGCGCTGCGGGCTGCCTGCTTGCCCTCCACGCCGGATATGCCAATACCAATGTGAGCTTCCTGAATCATGGACACATCATTGGCGCCATCACCAATAGCTGCTGTAATGTGCTGGCCCGACTTCTTTATAAGCATAACTATTTCGCTCTTCTGCAGAGGACTCAAACGACAGCAGAGCACGGCCTTGCACTTGAGGGCCACATCAGTGAATTGTTTTGGCAATTGCGTGAGTAGAGCGGATACCGTTATACCGTCGATGACCAGACAAGTGGGTTTCGATGTAGCGGATGTTATGCCAAGTTCGATCTGATTCAACCGCTTTTGCAGCGCTTCACATACGGTTATATTAATAAGAAAGTGAACCTCGGCTATTTCCGGTATATGCTTGCAGGCCCTGCCAATGGAGAGTGCTGTTTCTACCTTATCGCCTGTAAGAACCCAAATCTTTAAGCCAGCTTCCTGTAGCGCGATCAACGTTTTGTCAACTTCATCCTGGAGTGCGTCTTCCAAAGCCGTTGCACCCAGCAGATCGAAATCTGAAGTAGAAAATCGAAGAAAAGATATCTTTACTTTGATAAGTAAATGTTATTAGAGAATCTAACTTGTACATATACATATATGACTTATTTATATGTATCTATCACACTTACCCACTTCAATAGTCTCGTAACATAGTGCCAGAAGCTCTTTGCGATCCGTGAGTTGAATGCTGGCCTCTTTGTAGGATGCAACGAATGTAACATATTCATCTTCAGTCAGCCGGCGTCTGGCGACAGCAAGGGTCCTAAGACCCTCTTTGGCATATTGCGTTATTTGGACGTCAGTTTTTGTAGTAGGCGATGTTGGCTTGCAGCGTGGTAGTATGGACGCTTCAGCGCCTTTACTATACAGCCAAATAATGCCCATTTCATCCCGAATAATAATGCTCATGCGTTTTCTCTCCGAGCTAAACTCGAGCACATGAAGGCGCTCATACTGCACAACGTCATAATTTTGATCGTTAAGGATTCGGCTGAGACGCATTGAGTTGTTATCGGTGCCCTCAAAAATTAAACCCAACTTAGCGCAGCCCTCGAGTATGGCCTTCTCGTCTGGGCTAGATGCTTGATATCTGTCAATAATACCTGTAGCTACTAAGCTATCCTTAATCGATTGACCTTCTGTTGATTTATCGTCAGAGCTAGACATTACTTCCACTGTATGACATAAGGCTAACGCCTCAAATAAGACCTGCACATCGGCCTGAGCAATAATAGATTTGCTTTAGATTGGAAAATGGGTTAGGATTCAGTATTACTTACATCCATTGCGCCTAGTTCGTAACTTTCGTCTCTATCGGGGCAATACAATTGGTTATTTTGTAAAACGTAGTTATGTCCATCGACATAGCACTTGAGAAAGATCATTTGATTTTTTGTTAGAGTTCCAGTTTTATCTGAAAATAATATGTTGATCTGGCCGAGATCTTCATTCAAATTGGACGCATTCACTTCACAGGGCTGATCAGTCTCCTCGTCGTATAAATTAATGTCGGATCTCATAAAGAGAGCGCCGAAAACTCGGTAGAGTTCAATATTCATATACATTGAAATAGGCACCATATAGTTAAATAAAATTAAAAATGATAGGAAATCCTCAACTATTTGCCAAATCGTGTTGTACTCAGTAGAGAGTCCCAAATAGTAAATAGTTGGATAAACTTCGGCTACTTTTTGGCTAAAAATAAAAATAAGTATGTATAGGTACTCAAACAAGAATGTTGATCTGGAACATACAAATACTTCCTTAAGTTTTAAGAATTGCAAGATAAGAATGGGTATTGCATTATTTGTCCCTTCATTTTAATTATGGTAACTAACCTGCGTCCCAAAAAATCTCCTTTGCTAAGGACAAGAGATATCTTTGCCATTTGATAGGAGGATAATTTAACATTAATTATACAACTAAAATAAGAAACTTGTTCATGCTTTAGATATTGTTGAGCACTCACTAATTATTCGGTATGAGAAAAAACAAGTAAGAGAGCTCTAGTCGAGACTGCTCGACTACGAGATCCCCTGAACCCTACAAGCAACTGA